TAGAAAATGGTTGTTTTATCATAGCATCATCGTTGTTATCATCAACACTTACAACATTCAAATTTAGGTTTGAGGTGTTTGAATTTGAAATAGTGGTTAGTTTGATCTGATCAGATATTTTGTTAACAGTGGTATTACATAATATTTCATTAGTATAATGTTCAACCTCCATAGGTAAATCATTACTTAGCTCTAAAGGAATATTATTACTAACAGTTAATGAGGAWGGGTTTTCTAATTCATCTGAATCATYTGTATCGTGCAAAATATTGTTCGAACTATCAGTCAGATGTTGGATGAAATTTAATTCTTCTAATAACCTCCGTCGTTTAGTGGATTTACTCAAATTATTTGATCTCAACATATTTAGATTATATAATAATGTTATTATGAATATATTTAACAATTTAAATTATAAGTAGATAGGTGCAATAATAACAATTAGGTAGGTAATTTATTTATATAATACTAAAAACTAAAGTAACATCATAATATTATACTTACCTAGTAAAATGCACGTTCGGTGTAAGTACAAGTACGCAATACTCATTKACCACGGTAATTGGCGTTGTAGAAAACTATAAAAAGGTAACACTACGTAATACATATAMTGAATTACSAAAATTTCGGAAATAGGTACAACACGAAAAAATAACGGTAACACGACTATAGTTGTAGACCACGAGAAAAACTGACAAAGAGTGACGACTGCGACGAATGACGATTGTCGATTAGTGATTAACAACATACGCGCATCGGCAAGACTGCAACGACGATTTTCTATTTTTGCAACGGTTGCAACGCGTTCAAACAATATTATTATATTGATAGTTCTTATTATGTATTATTATTATTAGTTATTACTTATAACTTATTATTATTTTATTTCTTGTCGTGTCTAATCAAACATGCGGGAGAGTCGCGACTGTCATTCAGGCGTATATTATATAGATTATAGATAACTAAAATGTGTGTACGTGATATTTTGTAAAATAAAAATAGAACTGCCTATATGAAATACCATAATGGCATAATATCATAGATGTATTAGATAAACTAAACACAAATCCAAACACACTACACATAATATAATATAATAACATATTAATTTATATTATAATATCTTATATTATTCAGTAATTATATAGTCACAGTATATTATATTTATAGTAGACAGCGGGTAATACCAAATATCGTATGTATACGACCCGTCAGCAGATTTTCGTTTTTCGGCGTGTACTCAAATTATATTTAAAATATAATACGCTCCTAAAATAACTCGTAAACTAAATAAAACTTATTTAATATTTCATAGGAAAAAATTGTGATGATGTTTTAATGAATTATTTATCTGTTGAATATGACTATTAATCCTAATTTACTTAAGAGGATGTCAGCGCACTATTTTGTTTTCTCTCTCTGGAC